TGATGAGTGACACTTTTATTCTGAATTTCAGAGGAGACCAAATCACTGATGAACTTCTCATATACCATGCCCTAATAACACTGGAAAGCTGCATCGAAAGACCCTGGGAACTGGTTGTCGATTTCACCCATACCACTTTAGAAAACAGGTTTAGTGTAAGTGAAAAGATTTGTGTCCTTTTACTGCCAAACGTAACATGGTAACAGATAACTTTCTTGATTCTTTGATAAATTTTATGTTTTCATTTTTGTTTGTTTTTTTTCAACAAGCAAAGGTTGTGAAAAGTGAATGATGCCATAGGGTGTGTAAACTGGCTCAAGTGTCTTATTGTTACTAAAGTTCCAGCAAGAAGCCATCTCTCCCAATTCTGCTCATTACATTTTGTCACCAACTAGAACAATGTGTAGATTGAAACCTTTCATTTAGTAATTTTGATTCTCAAGTGCGGAAGGAAAATCTCAGATTCTTTGAAGAAAATCGTGAGCACTCAAACTATTTATTACTGTGAAATATTTTGTTTCAGCCCTCCACAGTATTAAAGCTTTTAACAGTCGTACCAGATGGCGCTGTGAAGAATCTCCAAGCAACGTACTTGTATAACTGTAGTAGTTCACTGAGACAATATGCCAAGTACAACGAACGACACTTGTCTCCTTTGAAGGTAGTTATTTCTTGCTTTAACCTTTTCTCCTTACAATATCACCCCCGAATCACACGTTAAGGTCACGAGAATAAAGAAATACTTGAGAAAAATAGGTAAAAATAAAGCACAAAATATATTAGATAATATTTCAAATATGTGAGGATCCTAATAGAGTATATTGATGTATCAGACTATGAAAAGTGTATAAAAATAAAAATGATCAGCAATCAAATTTATAGGCAGGAGTGAAAAAATGCACCCTTTAAAATCAGTATGACTTAATCTCCCACGAAATTCGGAGATAGACTTGCTTTGTTCGATTGAGTTATTCAAGTTATTCAGTAATGAGAGACATTGTGCCTGTACACGTGAGTGCTGTTAATATCCTTGTTTCAAAAACACATTCAACTCGTTGATGCACTACATCAGGGGAGCTGTTCAGTACTCCTGCTATAGGTTAAGAAATAGGTGGTCGCTTTCTTACATGACGCATTGCAAAATTGATATATCTTTTATCTCATATGATGTGCTGTGCACTGTAATGAGTTGCTAGCTGTACCTGAACCTGTAGTGTGTCACTAAGCGTCTATAAAGCTACATTTTTAATCGTTCATGTGCATATGTTGTGACGCTCCTCTATTTTCTCACAGGGACGCTCTATAGTACGAGTTTGTGAGTCTCTAAGTAAACTACACGAGTATATTAGTTCAAGCGAACTTAAGTTACCAAGTTCCACTGTGTCCCTCGAGGAAGACTTAAAGGTAAGCATTTATTGTACACCGTTTGTCGCTATCTTCGATTGAGTATCAACGCAATACAGGATTGCTTTGGTCTCACTTTACTTCGCTCTATGATTGGGCGAGAAAACTCGTGCCATCTTCTCATCCAATCAGATACCAAACTGAAACCAACTACGACTCGGTCACCTGCGTTTTCCCGCGCTTTAGCCGGTCGTTTGTTTTTACTTGTTGATTGGCTGTTGTGCTAACCTTTAGTTTTGTTATTACAAAGCTTTTTTGACATACGTTACATTGTGCTCGACGTTCACAAAATTTGTGGTTTTCTTGTACAGGTTTTTCACGCTTTCAGGGTGTCGAGCAGGAGCAATGTTTTGGTCAAGGTAATAACTTTCTGTGTTATGTGCAATTGGAGAACTCATAATAACCATTTACTGATCATTTATCAAATTTGTTTTGTCGCGTGTTAAGGTTGGCCCCACATCAGTGCAGATCACCACTCCAGAGAGACACAGAGTGTTAGGTTATTCAAGCATCCTTAATGATGTGTATTATGCCTCAGAAGTTAAGGGGGTAAGTTGGATCAATGGGAATGTCGGGCCAAGAAAGTACACTTTGAATGAAAGCGATCTTCGCAGATGAACACTACTTTAGGAGTAGTGAAAATAATTCAGGCCTGTACCTGTTTTTGCTGAGTGACAGAAGTGTTAGCTTTTCACAATCGAACTTTTCACTTCTATTCCTTTATTAGGCCACTGTGGAGGACGAAAACCTGTGTCTATTAAAGCTGGCCAATGTTGGTCCAGGGATTCTTCTGATGAGTAATGACAGTGAGCAGATTGTTCAAGCTGTTACACACGTTAAGACCAGATGGCAGCTCTCACAACCCGTATGTACCACGCTCCATGATTGGTTTATAAAGTGCGCGCCAAAATTTCTACCAATCAGATACAGAACTCAAATAAATCGGGACTTGGTCTCTCACTTTTTCCCGCGCTCCCGGTAGCTCGAGCTCCAATTGGCTGCCGTCATAATTTTCTTTGTCCTGATTAGCTGTGGTGATTACTTTGGTCTTTGTCTCACGACAACGAATTAAAAAACGTTCTATAAACTGTGAGTTTGCTTTCTTTTCCTGTAATCCTAATATCATCTCTGCAGATAACCAGGTAACCAGCAGAAAATTTCTTTACCACGGCTAAAGGGGTTATTTTCATTATCGTTACAAATGGCTTTAAGCGGGCAGTGTGATAATCAGTGCGTTATAAACGTCCTATTATACCTCTTTGTTGTTGTTATTGTTGTTGTCGATGTTTTTCAGTGCATTGTGATTATCTCTGTTTACTTTTTCCAGGACTCATCCACAACTACAAGTAAGAAGATTAAGCCCAAAGATGTCCCAGGAACGCTACTGAACATGGTAAGACATTATGTAGTACTGAATTAAAGCAATCTTCTCTGTCATTGATTATATACAACCGTTGAGAAATTTGAAAAAGTTTACATGTGCTTTTGTCCTCTCTTATGTTTGTTTACTCCATATCACAAGACATTGACAGTTGCTGTAGAAGTTGACTTTGAGATAAAGTCGGTTATCTTTTTTCCATTGTAGGCTTTGTTGAATCTAGGTACATCAGATCCCAGTCTTCGCCTGGCTGCCTACAATCTTTTGTGTTCTGTGACAAAGTCGTTCAACTTGAAAATTGAGGAAAGACTCTTGGAAGGAACAGGTAACATCAGTATGCATATTCTCCATATTGTTCTCTATAAATTTCCTTAAGTGCTCTCAAGGGAATTTGTTCAACAATCAGAAGCTCCTTGAGTTGTTGATCATTTCCTTTATTCTCATGACCATAATGTTCGATTTAGAGGTGATATTGTAAGGAGAAACTAGATGCTAATCACCCTTAGGGGTCAAAGGGTTGAGGTGTTTACTTGTTCTAACTACACCCAAAAAGAACCGTTGCTGATGTTTTTCATCAACCAAGTGTTTTTCTTTTTTCGTCAAAAGAAAATGCTGAAAGTTTTGTTATGGTACAGAATAAATGCTGAGGCAAAAACATCGATCGAAACTATGGTTACGTCAAGAACTTTTACATCGAAATTTTTCGATGTAACAAGTGTCAACATCATTTTATCTCTCAGGTCTGTGCATCCCTGCAAACAACACGCTGTTCATTGTTGGAATCAGTGAAAAACTTGCTGCTAGAGAACCACAACTGACTCTTGAGGTTAGGGAAGGAGTTTATTGAAGCCGCTTGCTAATATAGCTGTTTATCATTGTTTGTTTTTCGTTCATCAAACCAGTTTTTTCCTCTCTTGCCTTCCACCCTTACAGTTCCTGGAAGAATGCATTGCGGGTTTTGTGAAGTCAGATTATGAGTTGAAACATTTGTGTCTGGAATACATGGCACCATGGTTACCAAACCTTGCAAGGTTTGTTAATGTGAGACTAGCGTTAAACCAAATAGTAAATAAAGCACGGGAGACCTTCCTTGTTGGAATAAATGTCTAATTATTTAGGTATTTTGTGCACAATGATCTAAGCACCTTACTGTGCAGCTGTTGATTTTCGATTTTCTTGTAATGAGGGTAATCAAGTTTCTTGGAAACAGAGCTATTATCAAATTGTTTCTAAGCGAATTCGTTTTAACTTTGGCCCGGTAATTTTTCTGAATGCCATTGCTATGCATTTCTTATTGTTTTACCGCGATAAGGCGGCAAAAAAAATAAGCTTGGTTCGTGGGGTTACGTGCACTACTGATGACTGACCTTGCGAACGAGTCGTCATAAAAACTTGGTAATGTTTTCAGACTTCGAAGCCTTTCTACCTATTTATTTCTTTTCAGATTTTGTCGGTTCCCGGCGGATGATCCTCAGAAAGTGAAAATGACCCGTATCCTTGAAGAACTCATAAATCTAACGGTGAAAGAAAAAGGAGTAAGTAGTGTCACAGTATTAGAAATATTGTACTTGCGAAATGTCTCCTTCACCAGTAGTGTCCGTGAGTCTGTTCAGTAATAGATCACACTTGATGTCAAAATGCGGTAAGAATAGAAAAGCGGCACTGACACTGCATCAAGTGTCGACATCTTCTATGATCTATTACAGTACAGATCCAAAGCAAAATGGAATGTCTTTTATATGATTAAAAGAGCAAAATATTGGTAATGGTGACGTCGTCTATGCTTTGTCCTTCAATAGATCATAGGTAGTAACCAATAAAAAGCGTGTATAATTCAGCCTATTATATTAAATCCTTCTACTTTTGTAACGTCGTTAGTAGAAGAAATAAACTTGTTTTTGAAAAAAGCAATCTCAAACTTTTGCCTGAAACGCGAGTACCGAATCTAAACACCAATCCCGAGTTCCAAGAAACCTCACTTGCAAAACGAGGCTGAATGCCAGACCTTTTTTCTTTGTTGTTGTGAAAATTATGTTTTTTTGCACGAGAATAACAAAACATTTCCATATCAAAGATTGTGCACTTGCGCTTGTTTCGAAAGAAGGGCTTCAGGCATTTTGGAAATTGCTTGTAGTATATACTGTCAGGTTTTCAACGTTTTTCTGTAACTTGTCGAGGGTGAGTTACCTTGAGATTTATTATTGCCAGCATGACTTCCATAGTTTGGTAACTTTGATGAA